GCATGTGCGTCTGGATAGAGAGTCGGTTTTGAAAAGAGTTGTGTTGTGTTGGTACTCGCACGGGGAGTTAAGGTGCCTAATTGCCATGTCTTGAGCTTATCGCCAGATGAATGTGGGAAAATATTTTTGAGTATCCACAGGTCCTGCCGTATTATAGTTAGTAAAAGTGGAAAAACGGATGATTTTGGGTACCCATTCCCTGCTGTATTAATAGCCGGCAAATGTGGGGATATTTTTGGATATAAACATATGTATATGTATGTATTGGGACTCTCTTTAGGGACTTCATGGTTCATTTACCCCCGGTTTTGAAATGTAATTTCTCATGGAAATGGTAATATTTGATTTTTGATGCTTAAACATTTACCATGTGTTTAGAAAGAAAAATGTCTTGGTTGTGATAATGCTACATCGATTTTCAGATAATTAGATACTTTGTTAAAAGTATTTCTACTGGGCATCTAGCTCATTCTTATCTAACATTTCAAGAATTGTTGGTGTGATTTCGCCCAAGTGACAAGGCGGTGAAGATTTTTGAATGGAATACATGGGCTCATTGATTGTTAATTATTGAAGCTTTGGGGTGAATGTGTATTTGGGGTGAATGTGTATTGGGACCGTGTGTCCATTTTGTTGTACCAAGGCTATGCCTTGTTGTTTGTATGCCATTAAGGCATTATTATTTTTATTTTCTAGTTTCATGGATTATGTAAATGTTATTATTACAAGGACAAGAACATGAAAATTACAATATTTGATATGTAGATCAATGGAAAAGAGGACCTTTCGAGATTATTGTTATTATTGGTTTGCAAAGATATCAGATTAAGCAGATTAGGAGTGATGTTTTAGTTTAATATATTTGGGGGCATGACATCAAGGCCCCAAATGAACTTCCATAACACATCCCCAAGATTAGATGACGAAGAGGGCCTGCAAATTTGTGTAAAGTCACACTCATGTCAAGCCAAATCATAGCCTAACTTAATTGAGTAACAACTCGAAGAAGTTGGATACCAGACCAGATAATCCTCATGTTGACCAGCTGCAATAGAGATGGATAGAATGACCTTCATTTCCTCTTGGGAGAGGTGGTACTGAAGCAAAGTTAGATTCCAAGACTTGCTAGAATGATCAATTGCATTAGCCACCATATTAATAGTGCACCTAGCTGGTTTGGACGAAAGAATCTTGTGGCCCTCAACAGCCGAAATCCAAGTATCCTCACAAACATGAATACGCTCACCATTCTGAACCTATCACTGAAGACCCTTCATAAGAAGATCTTTGCCCTTAAGTAAACTAACCCATGCCCAAGACAGTGAAGTCCCTCGAGAAACCTGAACAAAATTTGAGTTTGGAAAATAAAGCCCTTTGTACATCTTGGCCCAGAGAGAATTAGGATTAGTGATAATCCTCCATCCTTGCTTAGCTAGTAAGGCTTGGTTGAAACTGCGAAAATCCCTAAAACCCATCCCTCACCTAACCAATTTGCCCAGTGTATGCCACGGTCCTCAGGATCACCGTTCCACCAAAAATTTCTTATAAGCGCATCAAGTTTTTGGCAAAGATTATCAGGTAATTCAAAACAAGCCACAACATAGGTGGGAAATGCTTGTACAACAACCTTTTTCAGAACCCCCTTTCCTGCATGGGATAATAGTTTAGTTTTCCATCCTTGAAGCTTAAAGAGAGCTTTCTCTATCAAAACAGAAAACATGGCAGCTTTAGATTGGACCCAGGAGGATGGAAGGCCCAAGTATTTGGCATTGGGGTTGCCTTGGGAAATGCCTAGAGTGTCGCAGATGGAAGCTCAAAGTTGTGCCGAAGCATTTGATGAAAACAAAATCCCAAACTTATGAAAGTTAAGAAACTGGCTCGAGGCACTACTATACGCCTTAACGATATTTAATAAATTCATACACTTTCTTTGATCAGCTCTAAGGAAAAGAACGACATCATCCTCGAAAAATAGTGTGATAAAATTGGGCAAGTCCTCCTTATCCGCAGACTAGAAATTCTTTCCAAAAGAATGTTTTGAGTAATAAGATTGGACAACACTTCAGATACCAATAGGAACAAATACGGTGAGAGAGGGTCTCCTTGGCGCAGTCCACAGGAGGGCACAAAGGAAGTTTGCATCTCCCCATTAGCAAAAATTAAGTATTTGACGATGGTGACAAGTATATGTCATGAACTAATTGAGATACAAGTAATTGAATGATTTCCTAATAAATTCCCCAAATATAAACGGATCACCAGATAAGGATTATTGCCTTAAAATTTTCAATAAATGTATCATCTACCTTACATATGATATGATTTTGTATAAATATATAACAGAGTCCTTACAAAAAAGAGTTAAATATAACAATATAATATTTTAAAGTAATTAACTATTAAATTTTAAAATTTAAAAAGTAAAATATAAATGAATCATAATTTAGAGAATTTACCGAATATTTTTCCTTCGTGTCCAAGTCAACCAATTGGAGCGACATTTACAGACTCTAGTCATCACACTACGTGATGTTTGTCAACTTTGAAGGATTTCTCTTTTGTAAATTAGTAAGCATAGCAATTTTGGACTCCCAAAATCAATCATTAATGACTTAGCAAGTATTTATTAGATAATATTTATATTTTATTGGAGTTCTTAAGTCATGTGACTTATGACACATGGTTGGTTTATGGGTCCAAAATTGGTGGTTCAAAGCATTTTCGAATCAGAAATACTACATCCCCCATATTAGAACTCCAAAATTAATCCCTAATGATATGACAAATATTTATTGAATACTTTCACTACGTCAAAATTGGGTTTTAGCGGCAGTTTTTTTACCGCCGTTAAAGGATGTAAAACCGCTGTTAAAGCCTTTAATGGCGGTAATTTAGGACCGCCATTTATACTCGTGTCGGAAAAGGTACAACCGTCGTAAAAGGGTAAATTACCGTTGTTAAAAGTCGACCAAAAAGGGCAGTAATATAGGACCAAAAACGGCGGTTCTTTACCGCCGTAAATAAGTTTAAATTTTTAAAAAAGTAATTCTTGGGCTTTAGCGGCGGTTTTTTACCACCGTTAAAGGATGTAAAACCGCTGTTAAAGCTTTTAATGGCGGTAATTTAGGACCGCCGTTTATACTCGTGTTGGAAAAGGTACAACCGTCGTAAAAGGGTAAATTACCGTTGTTAAAAGTTAACCAAAAAGGGCAGTAATATAGGACCAAAAACGGCGGTTCTTTACCGTCGTAAATAGGTTCAAATTTTTAAAAAAGTAATTCTCTCTTGCACCCCCCCAAGTCTCGAACCCTTGACCTCTAATCCATGCATGCCAAGCACTCCACCACAACCACTCTATATGAAATATATTCCCTAAATAAATATTTAAACATTACTTTTGCTTTATTGTAGATGGTCATGTTCAACCTCTAGCCGCGCGTGGTCACCACTCGCCGGAGTTTTGCCGGAGCTCTGCTGGCAAAGACCGCCGTCATTAACGGTGGTAATGAGAGGGCTTTAGCGGCGGTTTTGTTACCGCCGTTAAAAGAGTGCTTTAGTGGCAGTTTTTTTAACGGCAGTTTCATTATCGCCGTTAAAGATACTTTAGCGGTGATTTTTTTAATAACGGTAATGAAACCGCCGTGAAAGATACATTAACGGCGGTATTAACGGCGGTTTCGTTACTGCCGTTAATAGTATCTTTAACGGCGGTAATGAAAATCGCTGTTAATGCCCTGTTTTGGCATAGTGTTTTTATATTTGGTGCGATTGCCAAGTGATGTGTCTTATGACACATCACTTAAGATTTGTTTGGAAGTCCAAAATTAGGGATCAAAAATATTTTTCTATGAAAATTTAACATCAGTGGCGAGTTCCAAAAATCTACGAAATTGTCACGACCCCAACTCGCCCCGAGAGGTTAATGATAATGATCAGCCTGTACTTAGGCCTCAAAGATTTAGAATAAGGACTAATTAAAATTCAAATCTCTTTCATTAATTAAATGCTAAATATTATACGTGATGGGGTCATCACATAAATGCTCCTTCCTCATTCATGCAAAATAAAAATAAAAATCAATTGGAGCTTGGACTAGTAGTACAACCAAAGAATGTTTTTTTTTTTTTTAGGAGAATATATATATTTTTTTTATAAATGTTAAAAGAATTAAGTCAAATTGAATTATCAATTATTTAAAAAAATTTACCAATACAATTTCGTAATTAAATACATAGGTCCTGTTTATGAGCACTTATAAGTCAATTTATTCAGTTTATTTAATTCAAAAAAAAATTAGGATAATTGGCGAAAAGTCTATACCCATGAGGCCATTTGTTGTTTAGCCTAATGTTTGATATTTTTTGGCGATAAGAACATGTTTAATGAAATTATTTGGTGAGAAGAACAAATTATTTTTTTGAAGAATTTTTTAAATCAATTGTACCCACATTGCTAGACCAATGCTAGACCACTACTGCCCAAAAAGTTTGTCATATAAATTGCCTAAAAGTCAATGGCACTGGTAGATGGTGGCGGGCAGCAATAGCGATGGTGGTGATTATGTAGACAGATAGGTAGATAGGTGAAAAGATAGGTGAAACATGGACAAATAGTGAGATGACACGTGGACAAATAAGTGAGCTAGCAATGGATAACTAGACAGATTGGTAGAGGTAAAATGATCTTTCAAATTATAATTGTCATTTTGGTCTCAAAAGAATGAAGTTTAGGCCTATTAACTCAAAAAATTTAGAATTGGACATCTAGCTTGCGTACCCAAAAAAAAAAAAAAAAAAAAAATTCCCTAGTGATGTTTGATTTAAATTTTAAATTTTAAATTATTTGATTTTTTCAATTTATCTAGGCCAAAAAAGTAAGATATTCTTAAGTTACAATTTGTATTTATCTTAATTAAAATCATTCAATAAATATGGACAAAATATTCCCACCTATACCTAAGCTTACAAATAGAAAATAACTAACCGAAAAGATCATCTGTGTTACATAACATTGATTTCAAACTTTAATTGCTATATTTGTAGATGTCTTTGTACAATAATACCAACATACGTTGTGCGACGTATACATGATTTGTTAATTGCTTATCGTCCTTCAATAATCGATAGAGATGCCTCATTTATGGAACATCTTTTATTACATTTTGACCGAAGATCAGCGTCTGACAAGCTTTGGATAGTAAATGTGGGTTGTTTTGGATGTGGAAGATCCATTTCATTACTCAACATAAGAACCACGATAGACATGGTTGGCCTATCCACAACATGATCCTGAACACAAAGAAGACCAATACGTGCACATCTCATTACTTTAGACAAGGAACATGAATCAACCACTACCTCATCCACTAAGTCTGATGCCTGGCCTTCATTGTACAATTCCCATGCCTAGAATAGTTCCACATATGTTCATATATGAATTAGTAGAACCACATATAATGGTAGTGACAACAATATTTGAAAGCATGTAAAGGTGAAATTAGTGCACTTACATAACCAAGGAGGTTTAAATATTTTTCATGATAATGAAAACTGGTATTCCTCACGCCACTAACCATCTCTAATAACAAAACACCAAAGCTGTAGACATCCGACTTCTCTGAGAATAACCCTCCCATTGCATATTCGGGAGACATATAGCCACTGCATTTGATTGGAAATTGTTACATTTAATCTTACCCAAAATTATAGTACTTCCAATACATAAATATAATGTAACTATTCTAAAAAAATTAAAAATTAAAGAAGGAAGGGAAAAAACTTATTTACTGAATCACTGATACGACCTGAATATATATATATATATATATATAAATAGAAGCAAATAACAATTTTATAGAAAACAAGATGATCAAACTCTTGTGGTTTGCTTATTTGGGAGTAATGTATAGAATAAGGGCTCCAGCAAATTAAATAACTAATTATAAATAATAAGGAATCTTGCTTTCTATAATGTTGAGATCATGTTTTTCAATCTATTTTGTCTAAAAATATTGAGATAAGAACACAATAATGGAGGTAAGAAGGGAAGATAAGTAATCAGGGGGAGGGAGAGACAAAAAAGAGTTTAGAGAAGAAAGAGCACTCCTATAGTCTCCATCCCAATCCAAGATATATTTTAAGGCCATTATACTTTTATTTGTAGTATTTCAAACATCAAATGTTCCATATCATACATAACTGCATCAGTAGGAAAAGTAGTTGGCAAAGGTGAGCAAAATCTATTGTAGGAAAGAAAGGATCCTTACAATGTTCCCATCACCCTATGAGTGTTTGCCAGTTCTTGTGTCACTTGGAAAGTTCGCGCTAACCCAAAGTCTGAAATTTTTGGATTCATGTCATTGTCCAAGAGAATATTGCTGGCTTTCAAATTTTTGTGAATAACCCTTAAACAAGAATCGCGATGGAGATAAGAAGCCCTCTAGCAATTCCCTGAATAATGTCGAAGCGTTTAGCCCAATCAAGCTTCACCCTTTTCGTTGCATCTAACCAAAAGCATGACAGTCAAAAAGATGCATTCACCAAAGTCAGTCCTTTCCATACATTGTATCACCAATGAGGATAAGAGAACAAGGCTAAACATAAGTTTTTATCATTTCTTTCGTGTTAGGCACAGTTGTAGTAATATTATTGAATGACCTATGAACAATTTATAGTAATAAAGATGAGACTATAAACCAACCGAAGAGAAAAGTGTCCAAGCTTTTGTTTCTCATGTACTCATAAACCAATAGCTTCTCTTCCCCTTTAATGCAGCAACCCAAGAGGCTAACAAGATTCCTATGTTGCAGTTTGGAAATCAATACGATCTCGTTCTTGAACTCATCCACACCTTGCCCTGAATGCCTCGAAAGTTTTTTCACTGCCACTTGCTGCCCATCTTCTAACCTTCCCTGTAAACCACAATTTGTATTATTTAGTACATCGAATATATGTCAGCGTAATTCTTATATTAAATAATATAATTACCTTATAAACAGGTCCAAATCCTCCTTCCCCAAGTTTGTTTGTTGTGCTGAAGTTATCGGTAGCGACTAGTATTTTATCGAAGTCAATAATTGGTAGCTCTGAAGTGTCCATTGAATCAACCATTTTAAAGTCCTTTCTCATGTTTTCTCTCTTTACTGATGTTCAAAAATTGAACCATAAAATAGAAAATTATTTAGATTTCTCAAATTTAAAATTTGTTAAAAATAATCATAGTTGCTTCGCTTGTTGAGCAAAAAACAAACCCAATAATTTATGACTTAGCTATATAGCTAATGATAAGTGAATTTCCTCGTCGTTTTTTGTTTAGCAGCTTAAAATGTTTTAAAAATACCGTTCCTATTTTTTTCTCAAAGTACACTGGCTTTAAAATTATAAATTTTGCAGGTGATTAAACTTGAAGATTCTTTTAATTAATTTGACTATTAAGAGTACAAAATTGTTGTATTGTCTGCAGAAAACACAAATGAATATTTATACCACTTTGAACAGAATAAAGAGCTCATCTAATTTTGATGAAACATAAATCATTATTTTTCGTTGACAGGAGAGAGAAAATTGATGGCCACATCTTTGTGTTACATGTCCACGACAATTTAGTTTCAGAAGCAAATAGATATGTCCTTGTTGATTTACTCTGCATGTTAAAAATACCCTTCTTACCTCTTTGATTTGCTCTCCACCTGTGCATACCATACATGAAGGCACCCAAGAGGACAACCCCAGAAATTGTAGTAAAGCTGATGATGAACTTTTTATTTTTCTTATCTTCTCCTAAAAAAATAAAATGAAAAAGATAATGAAGAACAAATTTTAAAATAAAAATGATATTGTTAATCCTAAGATGTTAAGCACAAATCAATTAACTTTACCCAGCTCTGAATATGAAAGGCGAAGGAAGAGGTCGTTCCCGGCAAGTGAAAACTGCTGAATATCCATGAGGCCTCCAGACCAAACCATGCAATGAATTCCAGTCAGATATGCATATGCCACACAAGAACAGTTACTCAAGCACCATTGTTGGCAACCTGAGGAATCCTCGGTGTACAAATTTTCATGATGATCTGGCAGATTCATACTGCTCAGCTTCAAAAACCCATCATTTTGAGCCTTTCTTGATGATGCTAAGCTGCTAGTGTTCTTTTCGCAAAGCAGTTCGGTTTTCCTCACACAACCACCTGCCCAATTTCCTTTCCACCAATCCTCAGTTGAATTTGGTACAAACCCTTTCAAGCACTCACAATTTGGAGACTTACTCTTATCGCAAACTCCAAAAGGTCCACAAACCCCATAAATATCACATCGATTGGCCGGAAGCATCCAAGAAACATACGAGTTCTTGACTTGTTCATCCCAGTGCATTTCCTTCAAAGTTCCATCTGGTGTTAAGAAAATAAATTCGACATAAGAGGTGTTGTCAATGTGCCATGTGAGGTACACACTCCCTTGCTGATTGTCGTGTACGAGGTTTAATTTATTGGGACAACCATCGTCAACATCCGGTACCCCTATGAACTTCGATTCCGTCCCATCACTACAACAATTAACACTTTTAGCAACAAAAAAATTGGTCGCTAAAAGTCTATTTTTGGTCGGCAAAAGTTATCCGCGACCAATTTTTTTGGTCGCTAGTTTGGTCGCCAATTGAGGGTCGGCAAAAGTAATTCGCGACCAAAATTTTTGTTGGTCGGCAAAAGTTGGATTTGCCGACTAAATTTTTGGTCGCTAAATATTTAATTACCGCGACTAATTCATTTTGTCGCTAAAACACTTTGGTCGCGAAAAGTCGCCTGTTGCCGACCAAATTTCTTAATCGCCAATTGACACATTTCGCGACCAAAAGGTTTGGTCGCCAATTGACACATTTCGCGACCAAAAATTTTTGTCGCCAATTGTGACATTGTGCGACCAAAATTAGTTTGGTCGCCAATTGTTACTTTTCGCAACCAAAACTGTTGGTCGGCAAAAGTGGGTTTCCACGACCAACAAAATTTTTGGTCGGCAATAGATGTATTTTTTGGGACCAAAACCCTTGGTCGGCAATTGTCATTTTTTTGTGAAAAAAAATAATTTATTTGTCGCGACTAATAAATTGGTCGCCAAAGTAGGAAAACAATACACCTGTAATAATTAGCGAATTCATAATCAAAATAGGACGAATTCATAATCAAAACAGGTCTTATTATAAAATTTTCTATATCCAAGTTTCAACACATAACTCAGCAGTAGCAATATTGATTCCAAAAACAAGGAACAATTCACAAAACCCTATTCTAAACCCCAAAAAACAAAAAACAATTCATTCCAACAAAAATTTAACATAATCAGCATCAATTTCTAAAAAAAAAAAGAACATCTAGTGTTAACAAGGTTGAGTATTGTTGAGTATTGTTGTTCTTTTTTATGTAGGGCATCCAGCTCCTTTTTGGCCTTTGCAAATCTCTCTTTGTCGTACGCGTCAACAAGGTAAACTACAGAATCCACCTGCATGATGATCAAAAATTATATACTATTTGTGAACAAAATTCAATAAGCACTATCATATAAATGAGCTATGATTTGTCCTTTTCGTGCATTGACAGTGAAAAAAACTAATAGCAATAACAATAACAGGATGGAAAATTAAATCGCTTTGGTCGTGTAATCAATTATACATTGATGAAAACACTAAAGGTCAAATAAAAATCATTCACCAAAGCTTAACATGCTTTACTTACAACATTTGTAGATTCATCATTTTCCAAATATATTTCGGGATTTCACCAGAAATGTTGCAGTTTCTCAAAACCCTAAATACGAAAAAAATGAATAAAATTAAACTCAGGATGAAACTCACCTATACACACTATAAATATTGAACATTATAAATTATATAATCATCAAACATACAATCTTACTAGCCCTGTAGTGTTGCTCAAGGTAGGAAATTCCTGAGCCATCCCATTTATGTCACTGATTCTCCTGGTCAAAGAGATCACACCATGAGCAATTCCATCAACAGTACGCTATCAACCAGATAAATCAACAAAATAACATTACCTCCTAAAACTACTCTGTTGCTATAAGAATGTTTTGTACTCACAATTCAGTTAATTGATTCAAAAGGGATATGTTTGATGGAATGGGTCCCTCCAATCCACTTCCACGCATTTCTCTTCATCGACACAAATTACAATTGAATGGTTATATACAAATAACGGAAAAACCATCACAAATATTGCAACTTTCTTTACGGATGAAAAGACACTGTTAGAAAAACAACTATACACACACAACACAAACACAAATTATAATTACCTTTTCAGCAACTTTTTCATCAGAAAGCAATTCCTGCCATTCTGAAAGTATCTCATTTTCTAATGAACCACCAAGAGTTGATATGTCAATTTCCATTATGTTCTCTATCTTAAATGCACGAGGCTTGAACTTGAATTGTCGAGCTTCATGATCTTTTTTGGTCTTTACTTCAACTTTCATATTCATCCAAAGGCTAGCAAACTCATCAAATGTCTTATCCAAGAGCTGATTGATAAATACACCATATTAGTTAAAAGCCTTGATGCAAATAAATTTCTGGAATACTTTTGTTTGAAATCCTACAAAGGAGCAATTCTTACAACAAAAGATGCATTATCCATTAATTGGGCCTCAACAATAGAATGCGCTACACGGAGAAGAATGTTGTGACGTATGGAAGCTTTCAGTTGCAAGTCTGAGACCTGTTATCAATGGGAAGTATTTGAATACACAGCTTCTCATCAATTCAGAAAAAAGTCAAGCACATGGGAAACTAGAAGAACCATGAGATATAAAGACAATATGCTCATGAGTCTAATTAAATCAGAACATGTATACAGGCAAGAAATTAAATCAAAGGAGTCACAGACCATCTTATCAGAATTGACATCTCTTGTCGAAGTAACCAAACTTTCCAGCAAATTCATATTCATTGCCTTTGTGTCCATAGGGAAATCTATATCACATGAAGGAAACTTGGCCAACCCACAGTCAATCCTGACAGAAACATCATCAGATGCAAAGCCTCTAGGAAATCTCATAAATGAATAAATTGTCTCCTGCCAGGTAGTTTTCAAATTTAGCAACGATAAAACCAACGATAAACCTAGTTTCAACGATAGAACCAACGATAAAGAAACACTTTGTGGTAGGAGCACTTTAGTCATTTTAAAGAAATATATGATTGATAAATAATAAAAAAAAAGAAGAGGTAACAGTCTATCTCCTTTGATTCACATGTAGAACTGTAGCCAAAGAACTGAGTCACCTTGATGATTCCAGAAAATAAACAACACCTCATAAGCACAGGATCAAAGTCGAGGTTGACATATTAGAACTAGTAAACTAGGTGCAGCATAAAGATTACCCATGAATGTTTATTTATTTATGATAATCATTCATCTGACTGGATACTGCTAGCTTGGAAATAGAAAACCCAAGGTACTACTTATCAATCACAATAGCAATTCTTAATTTCTTAGTACATTGATTTTCATAATTTGTTTATTATATATAAACCAAATCAATTGTCCTAAACATTGGAGTTAGAAAATAAACCAAGAGTAACATAACCAATAGGTGACTTGATTAGCATATAGCATTTTCAATTCTTTATCATTTCAAAATAAACATTTCTGGGTCAGACATTTTAACAAACAGTTCAAAGACTATTTGGTGACTTGAAATTGTAAAGCTAGCTCAAAGAATAACATAACCAATAGGTGTACCACGTAGTGGTTGCCTTAAACAGAATGAGGTCAAAATTAATTAAATTACAGAAAAAAAAACAACAAGTACAAAAATGGATCAATGAAAGGAAATCCAAACCTGAAGCAGACCTCAAAGATTTTAGTATTGTTGCGGGTTTAGAACAAAAAGAAATCAAGTAACTTGGCAGAAAACATCTTCCATCCTATTGTGTAACTTAAAAGCACAATAATCACATTAATTAAGGGGGCAAAAAATCCCCAATTTTTCCATGTTAATACAAAAGGATCAAAATCAAAAGAGAAGCAGAGCAACTATAATCAGGAAAAACAAATAAAAAAAGAGTGAAGGATTATCAGACGATGGCAACAGAGATGTGAAGGGGCTTCCGTAAGCCTACGCCTGCAGTGGGTAGCCTCCTTCGGGAGCGGCAGCAAAGTGTGCAAGTGGAGTAGCGGCGTAGGGTTTGTCTTTGAAGGCAGAGATTCGAGCGATGAGAGGGTTAGAAGTTCCGATGAAAGAGTGGCAGCTGGCAATGGGATTTGGATTTTGATCTACCTCACTATTTGGATCTCAAATGAGAGGGAGAAGAGGAAGAGAGTGAGAAAGAGAGTGAATGAAGGACTAGGGCTGGGCATGGCTGGGCTTAATCAATTTAGGAATTTAATTATATTGATCACAGTTTGGAAGAATATATATACTGATCACACTTATTTGGAAGGGTGATTAAAAAAATTATATATATAATCACACTTATTAGAAGGTGAGATTAAAAAACATATATATAATCACACTTATTAAAAGTGTGATTAAAAAAATTATATATAATCACACTTATTAGAAGGTGAGATTAAAAAATATATATATAATTATACTTATTAGAAGGTGAGATTAAAAAACTTATATATAATCAAACATATTTGAAAGTGTGATTAAAAAAATTATATATAATCACACTTATCAGAAGGTGAGATTAAACAACATGTATATAATCACACTTATTACAAGGTGAGATTAAAAAACATATATATAATCACACTTAATTAAAAAGTGTGATAAAAAAATAAATATTATCACACTTAAATAAATTAAGTGTGATTAAAATACTAATCTGATTTTTTTTATTACACTTTCAATAAAAGTGAGATATTTTCATTTATCAAAGTGTGATCTTTAATTGTTTTTGTAGTAGTGTTGCAATCCGCAACGGTAGTACATGCATAAAACTAATGAGGAGTGCGACGGTGGTTCAAATTTCATTTCCCCCCTCCATCTTTCAAATTTCCCCCCAAACTTTTGGCGACCAAACTCTCAAATTAGTCGCAAAAACAGGTTCTTTCGCCGACAAATTTTTTTAGTCGCCAAATCTCAATCAACGGCGACTAAAATATTAGTTGCTAAAAGTATAATTTGACGACTAATTTTTTTTGTTGCTGAAAATAAATTTTTCGCGACCAAATTTTTGGTCGCCAAAAAATATGTGACCTTCCGCGACCAAATTTGTAGTTGGTCGGCAAAAGTATACCACTTTCTGCGACCAACATATTTTTTGGTCGCCAAAATATAACCTTCTGAGACCAATAATATTTGGTCGCCAAAAATAATGATCATTCGCGACTAATTAATATTTGGTCGCCAAATATCATTTTTTTGCGACCAAAATTTTTTTAGTCGGCAAAAATGGTCGCAAAATGTGTAAATTCTTGTAGTGCATGGACCACTTCTCCAGTATGGCTTGGAACCATTCCAAATGAAAACCTGCGGTGGTGTGTGTAATAACCCTCACCACTGCTTACCGATAAACACTGATTACCGTTAAACTGAACTGATCATGACTGATAACTGAACGGATTAAAGCACTGAACTGACTGACCGAAATTGAAACTGAATTGAATGAATACACCTGTTTGACTTGCATTTTATCTGTTGATTGTTTATCTGATCTGTTCATGTTTTAGTGTTTAAACTGCTAATTGAAGGCCTTATCGGCGGCCGAACGGGGAATTGTTTGATGTTTTATGATCCTCATAATTAATGTGATTTTATGGTATATTTATCCGAAAACTGATTAGGTATGATTAAATTAGATTAAATAATGAGTTAATTGCTAGGTTTGGACCTAATTACCTTTAGACCACTTAGTGGCCACTACTTCACACATGTTGAGCCTTGTATACACTCTTACATACACATTCATCAGCTCATTCCTTGCCTTATCTCTTGCCTTGCCGACTTAGAGGGTGTGAGGGAGAGAATTGATTTGTCTTTGAGGGATTGGCTTAGACAACTTGGAGAATTGAAGGTTGATTGTTGATTTGTGGTTCTACACTTGTAATTGAAGCTCTAGGCAAGAGAATTCAACCTTTATTGAGGTGTTTGAGCTTGTTCTTACATGATTCATGTCAAAGTTGAGGATTGAGCCATGTTTTAGTTCATACATGTTGATATAGAGCATAATTTTTGCATGCATGTTTGAATTGCTGAGTTGTGAGTTGATTTCATGGTAAAATGGTACATGCATGTCCATAACTTTGTAATGGTCCATGTTTTCAACTTGTTTTTGGATCAATCGGCTCCTTAGAGCATCAAATTGAACTTTGAAGTTGTTTAAAATTCTTGCATGTTTGCATGTTCATATTGTTCTTGTTATTGACTTGAAATTGAGTTTGAATTAAACACCCTTGGGCTTTGATTTCTCAAATTGAGCTTTGAACCATGTTATTCTATGTGTTTATAAAGGTTTTCCAGAAAAATGGGCCCAAGAGGATTGGTTTTCTTGCATCAAAACTTGGTTTCTGGCTTGGAGGTGCATTCTGGAATTCCCAGATTTTGTACTTCTGCTCGAGCGGGGAAAGTGGCGCTCGTGCGTGGAATCCGAGCATCCAGCATCCCTGCACTGTTTTACAGTCCGCTCGAGTGGAGGATTAGGCGCTCGAGCGGAGTCATGTGTGTCAAGCTTGAGCGGGCGTCGAGCGGAGATTTCACCCATCCAGTACTTTTACAGTACGCTCAAGCGGGAAAGTTTACGCTCGAGCGTGTGCCTTGTTGCATGTCCGCTTGAGCGGGGAAACCTGAGCTCGAGCGGGACTCTGTTTTTCTGAAAATTCTGAAACTGTTTTCTGATCACATCTTTGCATCCTCATCCCATTCTAGGCATTCTTAGACCTAGTTTAAGGCATCTTATTGAGGATATAGATGTAGAACACACCGAGGAAAATAAAGTTATTATCTTTCCCAGCTGTGTAGCTTAGTGTGTTCAATCTGTTAACTGTGTAGGGTTGGCGACTGGGGAGGCACGCTCTAGCGTACTGTAGCCCAAACTCTGTGAGTAACGATTGTGTAAAGATATGTTCACAAATGAATATCTTCTGAACAACTGAACTGTACTGTTTTCTGAACTGATTACTGTTAACTGAATGAATGTATGTCCTATATTCTGAACTGTATTGTGGCATCCTTAGCACCTACTGTTTACTGTTACTGGGACAGAATTCTCTGTCGGTTACCTCGTTGGAACCACCACTGTTTACTGACTGATGGCCATCATTACTGCTCGGTCTTTTAAGACCTACTGTTTACTGTACTGTTATGGTATTGGGTGTACCACATATGACTGTACTGACTGAACAACTAAAATACTGTTTAACTGAACTGTTTTCATACTGTAAGGACATTCATTCTTAACCTCTTTACGCATTATGTTATTGACTGGGCTTTAGCTCACTGCTCATATATATATGTAGGTGTACAGGCACCAGACCGCGG